ATTTGCGTTCAACAATGAATCAAGATCGTTTGGCATCGCTCGCACTTATGTCTATTGAATACGACATTTTGCGTAGTTTGGAATTCGACAGCATAATACAAGATTTCGTTGAATCCAAAAATCGCAAAAAAGTAATATATTAGATCATAAGATTCTGCAAAATAATTTATTACCGAAAAATATTATATTTTTATTTGTATCTTCATAATTTTGTGCAAAATACACTTGTTGTTTTCAAAGCTAAATTATTTTTGTCAACAAATTTTTTTCTCCCAAGTTCTTCGTAGGCCCCTGAATTTCGTAGGCCCTAGGCACGTGCCTAGTGTGCCTATATGTTAATCCGGCCCTGTGTCCAAGACATAAAAGATAAAGGCCTCTAACATAAGAGATATATGCAACGATCACTGTGGTGAAAGGTTGCTTGAAGCTCGCAGCGTTGGCTTAGGTGAATGCGAAGAAGTAATGATAGCTATTCATTAATCGTTGGACATTCTGATGTGCTACTACCTTTTCAATTACTTTAATCTAACTTTAATGCTTATTGAAAAGTTCATTAATAATTTTTTTTCAAATTCTTTGGTTAATGCTAATGCCGTGATGGAATTAGAGACTTAGTATGAATGAGAACTTTTGTTGAGAATGTTTTGAACTAGAACATACTAAATTTACAGCCAACTTGATAGAGAATAAATCTCGATAAGATTTGTGGAGGATCCTTTATATTTTTTATTGTATTCCTTTATTGTTAAAAACATCTAATGCATTTACTATGAGTGACAATGATCATATTCTTTGAAGTCCTTGTTAGCATATTTGTAACAAGCGTCTATTTAAAACTTGAATATAACTTTCGCTGTTATTTTTTTGAAATTATCTCGATTCTTAATTACATCTGAACTTCTTAGAAGAAGCATATCTCTGAGAACATCTTTGGAAATAAAATTTATCCAGTTCTGGCTGACGCGTGTTTGTACCTCATGAATACAAAAAGCACGTTTTTTTTTCTTTGCGCAGCGATGCAGCTCATCACGATGGCTACAGCTTTTTTCCTTCAATTATAAAGAACGAATTGTTTTTTGGGAATAATTTAAATATTATTAAAGTAGCCAAGAACAATATTATGTTTAAACTCAACACCTAGAGGTCTATAAAAAAGTTTCATCTCAAGATTTTATAATACACTTAGTGTTCTTTTCTAGTTAAACTCTACTTAATTGTAGTGTAAAATTCATAATTTCTCGTTCTTTTTAACTATCACATATTGATGAATAAAAATTTTGATTTATAAAATCGAATGTATGATACGCAACTTTTGATTTACAATACGCAAATTGATTCATTTTTTCAAACTCCTCAGACTACTTAAGTGATGTAAACTAGGTTCGAAGAAAAGGAATTTTAAAAGGTTGGTGAATCTGTTTATGGTTTAGTATTTATGAGACAATACCAAATATTATTCGTTTTTGAGACAATACCAATTACCATTTTCTTTTATTTACCAAAAAGGTAAATATGTTGAAATTAAGAGATTTTCATCGACAGTAGTTTCATCGTAAACCTTCAGAAAAATCACGAAAAATATGAATCATTTTCTGCACTGTAAAAATAATCCGAAAAACGATTAGTTCCTATCAATCAAACAAAGATATTTTCCAGATCTTTTTGAAAAAATTAAAATGAAAGAGCTTTAATTTTTAATGAAGATTTTCTGCTGTTCATAAAAGTTTTCCCACTTTTTTCGCAGATAAAATTGTAAGAAATGGATGTGGTATCTCAGTAGTAGTAAAGAATGACAGTTAGCTGACGGAATTTCTTCTTTTTTTCCGATGTTTAGATTAAGGCAACACTTTTTTCATTTCAATTTTTTCTTCTTTTCCTCCTTTTTTTTTTCCTTTTTTCACAACCTCATTCATTTTAACTACAATTTTTTTTTTTTGAAGTTCTATGATTGATCAGGTTCTGCTTTTCAGTACAGCATTTGTTCACTATTAATTCCTTTGAGAAATTAATAAATAAATCATAATTTATAATGGAACTTTTTACACTTTTAATAATATATATTTTGAAGTGGGTAAATTTGTTTTCAAATATAAATGTTAGTAATTTCATCGTACATGGTAATTCAAAAGAAATAAATCGATTACAAATGGCCATAACTATTTAATGAAAAAGAATTTATCGATAAAATTTACACAGAATGTAGAAGGTGCTTAAAAATTTTGTATACTTGAGTCACGGATTTTCTATGTGACTTCCCTTGGTCGTACAGACAACATCTACGAGATAGTCCATTAAGCATTTATGCAGTCACCGACGCAAGCGCATTACAAATGCGTTTTTTGAGTTCTTCAATTATTTTGGGACCCGGCTCACACCGACCACAGTGCTGACGTAAAATATCCTCGTTGTTAGATGGATCATGAGTCTTCTTGCTGTGAGACTAACTGTGGAAGGTATTCGTGGTTTCCTCTCCATGCAACGCAAATGCAGGTTAGTTCCATCAAAAAAAGTCCTCCACAAAGGCAAAATTTCTCCCAATACTTGATTCTAGAGTTCTCTTGTCTTCTGGATTGGGTTTAAAATTACAAGACTACGGTGTTGAACACTGGTAGACGTAAACTAAAAATAGGGTCGGCTGTTCAACGACTGTTATAAAATAAAACTGCTTTGGGCAGGGGAAGCACATACATCTGTATTTCACAAAACCCCATAGATAGAAATCACAGGGTGTCAAGTCTGGAGATCTCGGTAACCAAGAACAGAAGATATCGACCACATCTCCACTTCGACAGATGTTGATTTAAAAATGTGCGAACCCTCGTACCCCAGTGTGAGGGTGCTCCAGCTTGCTGTAAGATGCAATCCGTGGAATCTGTATCATTAAAAGTGTGGCATTTACCAAACTGTGGCATTAACCATACTTCAAGCATGTCAAGATAAACATTTGACGTAACACTTTTCTCACAGAAGAAAAAAGGACAGTACAATTTACGTGATGAGATTGCGCAGAACACATCAATCTTCTCCGAGTACGTTCGTGTTCAGTTACAGAGGAAGGCTACTCCGTACCCCATATTCGACTGATGTGCCAATTAACCTTCCCACTTATGCTGAAGGTTGCTTCATCGCGAAAAATGAGACTACCAGCCATTGTTTCATCCTCCATGCTTTCCAGCATAAGCTTAGCTTAAGTCATACGTTTGCCGTAGTCTCCCTGTTTCAATTGCAGCACAAATAGAATTCTGTACTGTTTTAGTTGCGGCCTCTGTCTGAGAACACGACATACCGTTGTTTGTGGCATTTGTAACTTCCTACTGCCTTCGTACGTCGATTTTCGTGGGATTCGTTCCCGCGTGCGGCGAATTCTTTCAATGTTTTCCGTGGAAATACGTGGTCATCTGCTACTTTTCCTTTGCCCAAACATCCCGTTTTATCAAGCATCCTATGCCATCTGCGTATCATGTTCCCATTTAGAGGTTCTTGACTTGCAACGCTGACGAAATCTTCCCTGCATTGTGATGGCAGAGTGACAATTGTTAAATTCTAACACAGACACCTTACATATAGGAATTTTGAAGTTCATGTTAATCTTATTGATAATTATTTTTCCTTAAATAGTTATAGCTTTTTATAATCCCTATATTCATTTTGAATTACTTTGCATTATGAGTGGAACGTTTTATCTAAAAATAGCGTTATCTTTGTTCGAAAAATCTGAATTAGTCAAATAAAAATAACAATAATTCACAGTCCTTTTTATGTCTTCTTTATTTAGTTGATAATCATATGAGTCCATGTTATTCATGGGCAATGTATACACTAATGAAACAGAAATGTTAAAATGTGTTTATCTTTTAAGGTCATTGGAGTGATTTTTGATTTGAGTGATTCCATTTTAGGCTTGACAATCCTAGCTTGGGGGAATTCTATATCAGGTATTTATTTTGTATTAAATTAAAGAAAAGTATATAACTGCTTTTTGTTCGATAGCAATTATGCATTCGTTATACCAACTGTTATTTTCTAAGTAACACTCACGCCACTATTACAACTCTTGATTATTTACTAACCTATAGCAAATTATTAACATTTGTAACACAGAAAAGCATCATTGGAGTACCTGAAAGATCAAAGTTTAGCCTATTCAGAGCCGTTGCATCACATTTGTGAATAAAGCAAAACAGTATGAATAAAGCGCAAATTAAGGTACAGAAATCGAAATACTATAGTTTCGATTCGACAAACAAAAACCATTATAATTATCGAAACACAAAATAAGAGTAGGAAGCTGAGAAAAAATTTATTTCTCCATTTTTTGGAGATTTTATCATTTCAGGAGGGAGATATATAAAAAACAGACGGTATAAGAAGTTTGGTTTGAATGGATGCAAGTTATATAAATTAAATTAGAATAAATTTCCAAACATTGAGAAAAGATAGAGTGCTAGAAAAATACCAAACTAAATTATAAGAATGTTTCAAAATACTGAATGATTTCCTGAAGTCATCAATCGCTCTAAATAGGTTGAGACTCTAATAGGAATTCCAATAATAGGTTTGAGTTTTCTTCTGCCAGAAACATTCAACACTACACTTCATCTACCGATCCTAACTCCTGGAAATCATTTCAAATTTCGTAAAATGCTTATAATTTAGTTGATGGTCTTTCTAGTATCATCACCATATCATTGGAAATCTATTCTAATTTAATTTCTAAAACCTGCACCCTAAGGTTCCCACAGAATCTCCTCAGACCTGATTCTTATCTCCCCTTCCATTATTATCTTGTTGAAGTTTGTGTCTACTTGTTAAACTATTTTTTTTTTCTATTTTCAACGTGTTTGTCTTGATACTTTTCTACTGCCATTTTGTGTTTAGATCCTGAGAAATTTTCTTGCTTATAGAACCGAAACAGCATTATACACATTTCCCAGCCTTTATGTTTTATTCACACTGTTTGCCTTATTCAAACTTATTCAAACATGACACAAATTATACTCCTCATAAACAATAACACTCTAAGGATAATTCTCATTTTAAGACAAATTCGTTGATTAGCAAGCTTGAGAAAAAAATCAAGCATTTTATTAAACCAAAACATTTTATCAAAATCGTCTTGATTTTTTTGTAAAGGAGGGAATTTTATGAAATTTCCCTGAACCGCGGACACCACAAATTCTTAACTAATAGGTTTCTTATTCATTTAGAGACATGTATATTAGATAAAAAAAATATAAATATAGTATTTCTAATAATAATAAAACAGATATGTATTTTCCCTATTTTGGATATTTAAATTTCAGTTAAAAGATATTCACCACAAACAACGGGTTTTATTTTCCCCAGAATTCTTTAGTTTAGTTTGTCAATTTTTCCCTGTGACATATTAATTGCATATTAATTAAATGCATTTAGCACAAATGGGTGGAAAAAAACATATGGCAACAAGATGAGAATATTAATTCATTTAACATTGTGGTAAAGTGACTGCGTAAATTATTTTGCAAATTGAATAATTTATATTAAATGATAAGTGCAAAATATTTATATGAGCATGTTCCAAGTTAAACACATAATTTTTTTTAATTATCATTTCAATATTAAAATTTCATTTTGAGGTAATTTGTATTTATTTCATGAGGGCTCAAAAACAATCTGCATAACTTGATTATTCAAAATACGCCCCTGTCTTTCAACCAAAGATAAACATGGAGGAACTCCATAACTAGCATAATATTTTTTTAGGATATTTTCAATAAATTCAGAAAAAAACATTCGAACTTCAAAGTGTAGAGGAATTAATTAAAGTATCAGAAGATTCAAAGCTTTCGAATTTTAGTTATTTTAAGAAAAATTTCTTGAATAAAAAGATGTTCTAAGCAAATATAATATAAGGATTTATTGAAAAAAAAACTATAATATAAATTTGATTTACGTACAGTTTCGTATAAAAAGCTGAAAATCTCCTGATTTTATTTTAGGATAAAGTGAGCGAAATATTTTTTTCCAATTCAAAACTGTTGTGAACACACTTTGTCTTTTAATTTAAGACAAATTGATATTTTTGTTATTGCACTGTGGAATTATAATATTTCAATTAAAAAAAATCAATTTTTCCATCTGACTCTCTTACGTAAAAGCCTGTGCAATCCGAGTTTTTTGTATTGAAATTGTTCTGAATTGGGAATATGCTTCTTTAAAATAATGATTTTGAAAAAAGGGATTCTACTATTCTTTTATTCATTGATTTTAAAAATATCAAAATTGTGGTATTTTTCATTTATTGATTGCTTCAATTACGTTGCTTGTGTGACATTTGCATTAATTTGAAATGTGTGTGACAATTTTAGTAATTTCAATTTGCAGATTTCCTGTCAAATGTAGCTGTTGCCAGGAAGAACTTTCCCAGAATGGCTATTTCTGCATGCTATGGTGGACCACTCTTGGGTAAGAAAGATCAAACAAGAATTTTTTTAAGGAAAAAAAATAGACATTAAAGTCAGCAAACTGAATTAATTTTATATTTTGTTAAATTTTTTTCTTAGCTTTATTGCTTGGCTTGGGGATACCGTGTATTATTGAAATAATTAAAGGACGAATCCCACCGAAGAATCCGGTAAGTTTTAACGCTCATTCCAAGCTTTGTCCATTTTCGTAATTGCCCATTTTAAGCGCGCATTTTGAGCTGTGACGATGAACTGCAAAAAGCTCTTCGACAATGTATTGCAACATGAACTAATGCAATCCCCTTTAACCCTTTGACGCAGATAGGACGCTGGTGTCCCTTTTATATATATATATATATATAGGTATATNTATATATAGGAATAGGAACAGTCTAATAGTTACTAAAAAAATCTGTTTCTTATAGGAATTATATTTGTACAAAAATATAAAGTCCAAAGAAAGTAGTTTGAATTTTTTGTTTCATGTTTCATTCCTATTCAAAAATTTATCTTTAGTTGATTTTATAAATTAAAAATATTTCAATGATAAATATTTCTCTTAAATCTAAATAACTGCAAATTAGAAACATTTTTTCTTTGGAAGAGAGCTGTGTTTGGAAGATTTCGCCTTTAACGCAAAAAAAAGGATGCTGTATTTCACAACAATAAACTATTAAAATGCTAAATATAATTTTTTTCACTTATTTTCACTTAAATTACTACAAATAATGAAAAAAGCATGAAAAATATGTTTAATAAAAATTCTGCGTCAAGGGTTAAACCCTTTATAAAATGTAGCTGTCGATCTGTACTGTCGTCAAGGAAAAGTTTTATTGGTGGTAACGCGATTTTTATGTATTAATGTATGTTTTAAAAGTTATGATAAGTTTTGAAAAATTTAAGAAAGTTGTTTTATCCACCATTTTAAATCAATAATTTAAACATATGCTTGACTGCCAAATTCTACGGTTAAATAATAATTTGAGTAGGAAGAATTTTTAAAAGTTAGACTACTTCGACAATATTTAACAGCAAAACACAACTAATAGATCTTATATACATGTGCATAGCTGGCATACATGTGCTGGTATACTGATCTTATGTACATGTGCATTCCGGATTTATTTATCTCTCCATATTAAGAAACTATGAGTGAGATCACTTCCTTGGTTTTGGGTGTTAAACTTTACGTTACATTTTGTTTTGCTGCGCAAAATTTTTAAGACGAAAGAATTGAAATTATATAGGTGTACAAAAAAAATGTAAAATGGAGTACAATGGAATAAAATAAATTTCACATTTGATAATTAGTTCAAAAGATATTAAATGTTTAGTAAAAAATTCCATGCGGACCACCCTGTAGCTCTATGTATTATGTAACGCAACTACAGAGTTGAAATTAAACGTGGTGGAAGAGCCATATTTATTTGCAAACTTAGCGCAAGTATTTAAGAAACTCGTGATTTTTCTCAATTTTCGCATTAAATAACTGTTTTTCTATTGTTGCAGAAAAATTTATTTATCTCTCCCGAGATCTTTGTTTTATAAGTTTGAGCTTTTTTTTTTTTCTTTTTTTTTTTGAAAATTAGTAAAAAATAAGAGAAAAAAAGACATTGGATGTTAATAAATTTTAATATTTATATTCAGATTTTTATAAACAAAAAACTTAATACAAGAAAGATAAGAGCCATTTCTTATTCAAAGTGTAGTAATGATTTAAGTCTCGTTAACGAGTTAGAATACTTTTTCATCTTATTTATAAACGTTACAATATTTTTTTAAGTACAGTTATTTCTATTTATCATTCATTTCGTTACAAGTAACATGTTAAAAAAATTATTTTGCTATTGTAGTAGTTTATTTACGTCGCACAAGAGTTTCACAATGGGCTATTGGCGACGGCCTGGGAAATATCCCTGAGGATAATCCGAAGACATGCCATCACAATATTGATCCTCTGTAGAGGGGATGGCACCCCCGCTTCGGTAGCCCGACTACTTGGACGTAGTCGATCACTTTAAGATAGAACAGTTTAACAATGACCAATACCGCACACCCCCGGTCCCTTCGTAAAATGATCCAAATGGTCACCCGACCGCAGCCAGTGATGCTTGACTTTGGTATTCTACTGGGACTTAACGATCAGTTCACTGAGGGACCAAATTTACGTTAAAACACATACTCTGTTGATGCAGAGTATGTGTTTTAACGGATGATTTAATGCTTTAACATACTCTGCTGATGATAGGGTTACCAACCTGTACTTTATGTACAGGGTAATAGGAAATTCTACCAGCAAATGCAAATGGGTGATAAGGAACATCAAGAAGAGGAAAATTTATCAGAGAACATGTAGTCGCAAACCACGCTTGACAAGGTGAAAATCGAGGGGGAAAAAAGCCCGCGCAGGTCTCAAAATCACGCAGGAAAACAACTACAAAAGATACTACAAACTTGCTAACAGCAAAGGAATTAATTTCATTAATTGTTACTTTAGTTGTTCGAAGTGGCTTTATTGTACAACCTGCAACTGAAACTAATAAAAATCATCAGCGCTTTATAGAGAATACCAAAGAAGTGCTTAATTTAGGCAGAATCTGGAACTGATCTCAATTTTTCTTCTCAAAATTCGGAGACTTTCTTGAAATTTTCACTCTTTCAATGGGATTTGCGACGCCATGTTCAATGGTAAGTTTTCATCGTCTCGTTGCCATTCATTAACCTGAATTTTTCAATCGAGTTTATGGATTACCCTGCGCACAGTAGATGCCAAAACTATGCTGAAAATCCTAAGAAATTCTTCGCACTTAGAAGATTAATTTTTCTTTCTTTGCAGCTGAAATTTTCGCCACAATTTTTCTTCTTATTCTGTGCTATTGGAATTGGACTTTTCACCACAGCAATAACTATGACCCTATGGAAGTTTCAAACCAAAAGACTATACAGCATCGTTCTTATAACTCTCTACTTAACATTCATGACTCTATCAGTGCTTGAAGAACTTAAAATATTCACGTTCTCATTGTGAATGCAGAACACCTGATACACTTTTTATTGAACTATAATTTTTCTGTTAATTGTGTACCAGACATTCGCCAAACTGACTACAAGAACAAATTTCGCTGGAAATTATTTTCGTATGCTTAAGCAATGGTTATGGCCAATATAAATATCAATATAACTCATTATTGTATTGGATTTAGAACTTTATGATGTCATAGAAAGGTATATTTTTTGCACTGTTCCGAAAATGTTACAAAAAAGCATTTAGAAGAAAGTTGGAGCTACGAATTTAAAAATTTATCAGGACAAAAGGTCCCGGCTCAAAAATAGTTAAGATAGATTTTAAGCTTGCAAACAAAAACAAATCAAACACTTAAAAAATAAATTGAAATAAATAAAAAAAACTGCTGACTAATTCAAAAAATGGATCTTCTCTGTATATTCACATCTTTAATCTTCTCAAATACTTGAAATCTTTATACGACTTAATCAGAAAAGTATGAATATTATTTAATAAGAGAATTTTTCCTCTTCTCTAATTAAGTCTCATATAATTTTAAGTGCTTTCTTTTAATAGTGCAATTAATTCATCATGTATTGTAGTTTTGGACACTTTTGGTTTTTAGAGCTTCGGAACCTACCAAGTGCAACTTTTGAATACAATTTTTTTACGTCAAGCTCTGCAGATACATTTTAGAATTTTTCCATTGTGTTGCAAATCTATACAAAGGTTTCTGCTACTGGGATTATACAACCATAATTATACTTTTAATGATACTAAATGATAGATTTTTTTTTAACTACCATATTTCTACGTATTTCTTTTTATTTGAGAGAATTAAATTGAATAAAAATCTAAGTCCACATGGATCAAATAAATCATCGGCTAATGCTGTGATAACGAAGATGGCTCGTTAGTAACGACATTCACTTTATAATTACGATTCTAATGAGGTGTCATAAGCTAAGCTCACGAATGTTTTTGCCAAGATTAATTACCATTGAAAAAAAATTATTAATGACAGTACATACAAAAAATGTGGTTGATAATGTAACATTTTTCCTTAATTTGCAACTCTGCCTCGAAATAATTTTTAGCCATGATAAAATAAGCAAGCGAATATATATATATATATATATATATATATTGCAAATTATTGGCGTGTCCCAACGTACT